CAATTTTTAAAGTACCTAAGTAAAGCAGAAGCCTAAGTTCTGAGGGGGACTGATGTTCCCAGCTCATTAATTTCCGTGGGATTTAGTTGCTTCTTTGGTTTATCTTAAACCTAAGGCTGATGCCTGTAAATCTGATTTTCTCATGTGATGTATGCTTTTGAGGGCCTACATCCCATTAATTTTCGGTAATACTCAGCCACATAAGTCCGTGAGTCTCTGTCCAAAAAAAAGGCTTAAGGACTGTTCACAGGTAGGCTAATCTTCCTTGGCTCCCTCCGTAGTCCTGAGGGAGATGGGCTGCTCTTGTGGGATGTGCAGGATCGTGCTGGGTGCTCTGAGTCAGCCCTTCCCTGGGGAATCAGAGGAGAGCTGTCCTCCCATGTAAAGATAACCCTTGTAACACCTGTGTGCTCCTAATGCCAGCCTGACGTGCTTTCCTGGTGTCTCCTGGCGTGACAGAGGAGGTTGCTGCAGTGCAGCTCCCACGTAGTGTTAAAACCTTTTTCCTTCTCTTATTAAAGGGGCCAAGGTTGAAATTTCCAGATGTTGTATGCTGTGTCAAAAGAAGGTTTTGTCCCCCTTGAAGGTGGTGCTAGAGAACTGGGGACCCTTCTGTTTGCCCTACAGCTTGTAAGCCATGGGAAGGCTCCATACTTCAGGGGGCGTTGTGGTGGGCCAGCTCCCCAGCCCCGCAGGCCATTTCTGCCCTGGGGCTGCCCTGGTGTCGTCCCCCCTGCCCCAGCTCGTGCTCAAGAGCAGAATTCGTCCACCAGCACTGAGTGAATTGCTCCAAATGACAATGGCCCTCCCAACTGGGTCACCCTGCTGCCAGCAGAATGGCACCTGGCTCTGAAATACCAGCAGGCCTTGGAGATTTTGGTTCTCTGGGCCTCTGCCTTTGGTCCCGGGTAGGGTAATCCCATGGGGCTAACTCCCCGTGGTGAGCAGAGTGTTTACTGGCTTCTATCTGTCTCAGCGTTGACACTCTAACAAAAGGTTAGGAATCATGAATGCATCCCTTTATTTCTGCTCCACAGTGCCTCTATTTTTTTCTGTGTAAACCCTTCACTTGCCTCTTGCCCAGCCTTTAGAAATGATGATCAAATGCGAACTTTCAGGGTTTATTTATAGCATAGCCTTTATGGAAAGAGAGAAAAGAAATGATTAAAAAGCAATTTTACAAAATATTTTGTTTTAAGAGAGAATTCATTGTGTTTAAATCACTGTATTCATTGTACTGTCTAGACTGGCAAACAAAGAAGATAGAGCATCATTCAAATTAAGATTGTGAAATTCTTGGTGACTGGAATTATGGATTTGGATGTTGACCCTCAAACAGACTATTTCTGAACAGCAGCATTATCATTTTGCTATATTTAAGGCTTTGTTAGGGACAGAACAGTGCACAAGGTTGATCTGATTCAGTAATACGATTCTTATGTTCCTTTGTTTCTGATTTCATTATAAATTCATATTTTTAATGTTCTGTTCTTCTTTGTCCCCAGAAAATTGTTGAAAAGACTCTCCTCTGGGAATAAAGTATTTGTTCAAATGAACAATGATCAAGCTGACTTTAAAGAAAACCACACAACCAAAATGCAAATTAAGAGAGGAATTAATTTAGGATATTTTGAGCAACCTAGAACAAGTGAGTTGTTGAAAATTGCTGGCTGTGTATTTCTTTAACATGGTACTTGACATTATCGTGGTGGTTGCTGTGAGGCCTAATGCTGTGGATTTCTGCAGACCTCGATAGGTTTAGCAGATTTAAAAATACAAAATATTTATATGATGAACTGGAAGAGACTGCTTTGGCATCTTCCTCCTTACCGGTGTTTAAAAAATGAGCTAAATGTGAGCCGGCAGAAGATAAGGCTGTGTTTCCTGATTTAGGTCAGGCTTTGAAGAACCCGTTTTTCTTTAGGGACCTCCAAGCCTGTCCTGCTCCCGGCCCCATGGCGTGGTGGTTTCCCCCTCACTGCCTGTCCAGACCCTCTGTGCCAGGGATGGGGCCGGGGCTTCAGGAAGGCTACAGGCCTGTGTCACTGTGAGAGCAGCTTATTTCAAGTTTTGGGAAGTCACAGGGAGAAGATGAAAATTTAAATGTGAAGAGAAGCGTCGTGTTTGGGGAGAGATCAGAGTTTTAGGATGCTTGCTGGAACTTTTTGCAGTTTGGCATAACGCTGGGAGCAGTGGAAACTCCAGCTCCCAGGGAGCTTAGGAGGCTTTCATCAGCTCCGCGGGCCCTTTGAAGACCACCACAAGTGGTCTGAAAGCTGGTGTGTTGTGGGTGCCCAATGTCTTGTGGGGCCTGAGTGGTGTGACAGCGGCACAGGTGGGAGCTCGAGGACGTGCCCATACAGCACCCATACCCACTGCGGTGTCTATGCTCTCTTGAACCAACCTGAGAAGACCTTTAGCTGGATGAATAACGGTGTAAAAATAAAACCTGGCTAGATGCATGTTTATCTCAGAGGGCTGGCTTATTTCCCGAAGAAGTAGTCAGTGCGTTTTTCAGCACTGAAAGTTGTAAGAGGCCCCAGAGTAACACACAAGGTTAGGGGGGAGTATTTATGGCAAAGCAGAACCTTTCCTGGGATCAGCGCTGTTCGTGTCCTCTTAGCTCTGCCCGGCACGGGCCAGCAGCAAGCACACCCTGCCAGTGTGCACAGGGGGAATAGCAAAGCCTCCCTTTCGTTTTTGTTGCACTTGAGAAAAAAGTTGATTTGTCTGAGACATTTTAACCCTATCAGGTGGTCCTATTGTGCTTTTTTTTTTTTTTTTTTTTTTTTTTGTGTGTGTGTGTGTGTGTTCAGTAGCACCTGGGCAATTCAATAGGTGTAAAGCAAGGAATTGAAAGCTCTGTGACTCTTCCCCTTGGTGAGAATGCTTTGAGGGGCTTTGCTGTGCAGCGTGCAGGATCTCTGCCTTTGTCTTATGTTTTCTGTGTTTCTCCTGTAAGACAGGAAGCTATCTTAAAAAAAGATATCTGGTTGTATCAGAGGAAATTGTCTTTTACTTTTTTTCCCCCCCCCCGTGTTCATTCATTTTGTGAGCAGACTCAATCCATCTGGCCATGTAAGGGGGTTGTAAACGATGGACTGTTGCAAACAGGAACAATGCTTGAGCTAGTATCACTTGTTAAGGAGCAGAGAATAAATGCTCACTCATTTCTCTTGCTGGGAAAGATAGCAACCTTTCCCTGCCAGTATTTTAATCTGGCTGCTGTGCAGTGTCTCTGTGCCAGCAGGCGCACTTGTCCCGGAGAAGAGAACACAGTATCTCACTGGAAGTGTTATTTCAAGGGTGTTTCTTAGGGAATCCAAGTACAATCAACTTCTGCACGTATGAAAGAGTATAGGCATATCAGTGCACAGAAATACTCCTCTGCTGTTCTGTCAGAAGCTCTAACAGTAAAATGCTGACCACCACCATGGGCAGTGCTTCTTGCTTTGGCAGAGCCACAGTTTTATCCAGCATTTAATCCCCTGAACTCAACAAATGTAGAAAGTTAGGTGTTCCACATTTGAGTAGTACGTTTGAATGGGCAGTATAAGAGGATTTGTTGATGCTGAAGAATGAAGCAAACGTACCCAGAACATGACAGGTAATAACAGCACAGGTTCAGCAAGCCAGGCAGAGCGGGGGCCGCCTGCAGCTTTGGCACACGAAGGCATCGCAGGCACCGTGTGCCAGCTGACCTGACACTGCTGTGCATGGGAGATAGGATCTGCTGGCCACGTACATCCTGGCATTTAGGTCACGATCCTATTTCTTTAACGCAGGGGAAATGGGAAACCAGATGTGACGTCTGCCAGTCACCTGCTTACCCGCAGAGTCTCCCTGCTTGTTCTGGGTTGGTGAAACTGTGCTTACATTGCTCATCGGCATTGTAAAGTTCTGCGAGTTCCTCAGCTGTATGCTGGATTAGTGGAAAGCAAAGATTTTACTACAGCAGATATAACAGACTATAAAAGCATCCAGCCCTTTAACAAATCTGGTTGGAGCATTTGACGAGATGGCTTCCAGCAGAAGCAGCTTGGCACAGACTGACTGTTCTCCACTGATACCCTCACAGCGTTGTGCTTTAGGCACTAATATTAAAACAATAGGCACTAATATTAAAACTTAGGGTCCTGCTTAGAAACTATGACTCCTGGTAGAGATTTGGTCAGACACTTATTCTTGAATCCTGATCTTTTATGTTTAACACTGCTCCATCTGAAAACTATGGCTATAATGCTCCTTATGAAATAACTTCCATTTAAAATAGCCTGAGCCTGCTGCCTCCACCCTGGCCCAAGAACTTGAGCTTGCTTCTCTGCTCACATCGGTGATCAGTGTCTCATGCAAGTGGGATTGCTAAGGAAAATCCATAGGAAATCAGAATCTCATAGAAATTGGGAAAGGAACCAAACCTGCTCAGTCCTCTTGTGACTGTCCCAGAGACTCCTTCTGGGGAGATTTTGTGACGTCCCTTCCTCTGACTTTATGTTGGCCAAAAGCAAATTAGGATCAAAATCGTCTCTGACACCTTTATCCTGGAATGGGAGGGCAGCTGTAGGCTCTGTAACAGAACTTTGCAAGTCACACTGAGCTTCTGCAGCGCACTGGAGTCCTCCCTTGCTACAGGGAATCAATACTTTGGGAATATGATTAAGAGATCTCATGTAAAGCATCATTTTATTTGAGAAATCTCCCCTCCGGGGATGCAGTGTTTAACATTTCCTTTGGTTAGTGTAAATAATAAAAGATAAGTCTGTTCTGCCTCAGACTCCCAGTAAGAAAGAGGAACAGATTTTGGTTTACTGAGGGGTCTGCAGTACTTTGTTCTCATGACTACTATATAATGGGATTGAACATATTTTATGCCATCTGGCCTGTTCAGTCGAAACAAAATACATCAGTAATGTTCCGATTGGTTTTGAAACATCTTGTTCTTGTCAAAAAGTATTTTAAATCAAAACAGGCTTTTCCAGCTTGTGTTTGTCTTTTACTAGGAGGCCATGGCGAAAATGGGAAAAATCGGGCGAGTCGTGCAGCCTAACCACGAGCACAAAAGGTAGCCCTGGCTTCTGTGTGTTCACCTGTGAGAATTTGCCTCAAAGGAAGTTCATGTCCCTTTCTTTCTAGCTCTGCTTGAATAAAGTTATGCCCCATATTTTTTAAAGATTATACGGGCATCCTCTTCAACCCGGGCGAAGGAAGACATTTGCTCCAAGTGGTGTGGAAGCACCTCACCCCCTAAAGCCCTGCCCTTGCCCACAGCTCGCCTCGGCGGCAGGCAGGGTGAGAGATGTGAGGGGATTTTAGGGATTGTGAGCTGTGAGGGAGCTGTGAGGGGATGTGGGGAGCTGTGAGGGGACATGAGGAGCTGTGAGGAGCCTCCGGGGGCTACCACAGCGCTGCGTTTCCAACAAGTGACGCCGAGGCCCGAGTCACCGGGCCCGCCGCGGGGCTGAGGCCGAGGCAGGCGGGCGGCCCGCGGCTGAGGCGCTGCCCCAGGCCCCGGGGTGCTGCCGCCACCGTCCTGGTCCCCGTCCCCGTCCCCGTCCCGGTCCCCGTGGCCGTCCCGGCGCGGAGGGGCGCGGGCACCACCTGGCGGCGCGGCCGGGGCTCGGCGGGGGTCTGCGGGCACGGTCCCGGTCCCGGGCACGGTCCCTGGCCCGCCCGCTGCGGGGAACTTGACATGAGGAGCAGAGAAAGTGAACGTGTTTTACAAGGGATTTAAACCTTAAAATCTCAAGCTTTGTGGAAATTATTATTATTATTTTTTACTACAGGTTTTATGACAAGAAATACGAAGTATTTCTGAAACTCGTGGAGCACCAGAGAGAGTATCGCGCCATCATGAAAGGCTTCTAGTCCAGAGCCAGTATAGTCTGGGAACAGCAGGGATACACTTTCAGGGTAATTTCTTTTCACTGTACTGTCCATGGTAAAAACGTGTTTTTGTCATCTAAATTGTATATTTTCATTATTAATGAGAAATAAAATGCATACACCGTGAAGCGCTGGGTATTTTCCATCTATACTCCACACACATCAGGGACAACAAATACTCATTTAGTCCCGTCAGAGAAGACACAGCCAGCGTCTGGTACCGTGGTGCTGGTGTTTACAGACTGGCCACACGCAGGAGTAGCACGAGGAACAACACAGACCTGAATCCCTGACCTTTGCCGTGCTTCTCACAGGTATTGCACCCATAGCATCACTAGGGGCCCTTTTAATTTTGGTATCTCCTACAGCTGAGATGTGATTTCCATTGGAATGTGTTTTTTTTTTTTGTTTTTTTTTAACCACGACTGTAGTATTTTTTTGGTGGCTGATATTTGGAAATCAATTTTGCAGCTGTGCAATCTTCCCCTATCTGTTTTGTTCTGTTTCCTACTCCTTTTCCGTTTCCACTCCTGCAGCATAGTCGTTTTCCTATCAATAACTTGAGCTGTTTTGTCTTCTGCAAGTAGCCTACAGTACACATTAATCTCTCTGCAGATGTGAGACAGCCTACTGTTGATACTGAAGGACTAGGTTGAGCAGACACAGTTGCTGAAAATATGTTCATAGCGCAGGTGCATTCCTTCCACCCTGCCAGCTGCCTCGTGGGGAGTCAGCCCTGAGACAGTCCAGCACTCCATGGCCGTTCTCATCACATTGCTTCAGACAGACCCAGCTCAAAGCTTGTGCATCTACACAGCCTGCCAGCTACAGGGCTAAACCCAGTGACAGCAGGTACAGAGAATGCAGAGGGAGAGAGACGGTTTTCCTTCCTTAGACTTGCATTTGTCAGTGCTCAGAAACCTTCCTGGCTGCCCGCTGGCCAAATCCAGTCAACAAGAGGCTTCCATTTGTTTTCAGGTGATTTTGAAGGCTGCCCTAGACTAGTTAGTCCTGCAGGGTACTGTCACACTAACACCACCAGATCATGGCATGGCTGGATGCTCTGGTTGTATACTGCAGAAACATTTCACCTCAGACCATACAAATTGTTTTGATCTTGAAAGATGCAAACATTGTCAGGGCCTTTAGTGAGATTCTCTCAGAAATTCTTTTTCTCTTCATTTATCTGTTACTTTTTAATAAAAGATATTGTTCTGTTTAAAAAGCAAAAACAGAAGCCCTAAGGAGTCCCCTAAAGGACAAAGAAGTGAGGGGTAGCAGAACAGAAGAACATACTCAAATCAACTGTGTGTTATAGGTCACTAATGAGAAACCTTCTTTTCTTCAGACTGCAATCTGTGACCCTCTTGGTGAGCCTTCATTATGCAAGAGAAACAACCTACAGTCAGTCCCTCTCCATGCATTAGTATTCATAAAAATGGACTCCATCTTTATACACTTAGCTTGATAGAAGTTCCATTCTTTTGTATTGGCATAGGCTGCAATTCCCAGTTAAATGCAAACAGAAGTTACACAATAACAAAATTACACTTAGAGAACTTGGAAAATAATAGTTTCTGGGGTTTTTATGTTAGTAGTCAGCACTCAAAAACATCTGGTAATTTTTTTAAAGAAACAATGCACTTCCTGCCTTGTAGTTCATGGAAAAGCAATTGTTGCCATTTCCAAAGTACCCATTGTTAAGAGAAACAGCTTTACAAGTTCAGGGACATAATTAAAGACAATGAAAGTTGATGGGAATAAAATGAGAAAACATCATAACAAAAAGAGTATAACAAGCAAGAAAATAACTGCAACATACTGGTGTATCATAACATACAATTCAAGGCTACAATAAAAGATGTCAATTGAAAATGTGTAGAAAGAAAAAAACAGTTGGAGACCAGTGTATTGTGAACAATAAATATTCATATATTTTAATATAACAATTTTAATATACAAGTCATACATAAAAATAAGTTCACTGACTCCAAATACATAGCAAATGTACAGATTATATAGGGAGAGACGTGTAGGATTGTCTGGTACTGTACCAGCATTTTTAACTCTTCACAGCTCAACACAACCACCCCCACTTCCCACCAACTTTAGCAGACTTTCTATAAACTTTATTATCATCATCATAAACTTAGTCCTTGATCTGCCTGGCTGAACCAGTACCGTGGCTTACAAGGAAATCACAAGGAGTGTATGAAGCCTACAAAGGAAGCAAACGTTTATGCTGACTTTGTTAAAGCTTAGGTGCACAGATTCCAACAAAGCTGTGTACCTTGCTTAGGCTTATACGGAAGACTTACACCAAGATTTGTTCACATTTCTTGCATGATCCTTTTAATGCAGGTCTCCCCTTGTAATACTTCTACTTTGCAGTTGCTTTTTTATTCCAAGCCATATTATCCAATTTTAGAATTGGACTGTAGTCACTGTGGAGCGTAAAAAATCTGTATTCCAATGGACATGTAATCAGCTGTGATAGCACAAAGTACCAGTACACGATTTCGTAGAGGTATTACCAAACATTGTTTTTGTTATATGAAACCTAGCAAATTGCAGAGTTTGCTAAGTTCTCAAAGTTTTATTCAAATAGAGCCAAGATGTAAAATGTCAAAGCTTAAGAGTTCTAAAAATCTTCAACTGCAATTTGATTGGCATTTTAATTCTAGGTTTTGTTCACAGCCTTAAGCAGTTTCAATTCAGGCACTTTATATAAGGATAAGTTGTAGAAAAGTGAAGCATGAAAGAGCCTAGCAAATATACAGTGGCACGTAAAACTAGCCTTCTAAGCACTTGCACATCAAATCATTTGGCCACGCCAAATATCACGGAGTCCTGCTTCAGCCTTTGTCTGCAGCAGAATGACAAATCCATCACATGCTGACCCAAATGAAGGAGAAGTCTGTCACTGTTTGATGGAGTTTGACCAAGGAATCAAAGTTTGAGTCGCTCAGGATTCTGACAGCATGCTCTGAGCTGCAGATCTTGCCATATTTACCCCGTTTGATGCAATTTGCTGACAAATGTTTATCATACAAATTAAAAGAAGGGAAACAACTACCATGTCATCAGCTGTTCCAAGTGTTCTACAGAGAGGCCCAGGCATCGTGTCAAAAGGAGATGAAAAGCATATGATTGTTCCGAAGGAGCAAACAACAACTCTTATGAAAAAAATCCATACGAGACCACCCCAGGTAAAGATTCCTCGCCAGGCAAGAGTCAGGAATAACGGCATGTCGTAAAGGTAATCTGAAAACTAAATATGCAGATGAGTTATACTATGATGCATTCTGATTTGTGCACTTCTTTTTGAGTCTGTGTTAAAGAATGAGTCTTTAAGCACTTTTAGATTCAAATCTCCTGAATGCAAAAACTTTCTGTGCTGTCCAAGTCTGCCTACAGAGGTCAGTGGTTTTGTACTACCTACAAGCACGCTTCTTTCTAAAAGGAGCCCTCACTCCCCCAGCACTTTGCAAGATAAAGTATTATGCTTGACACTGAGTCCTTCTGGAAACTGGGCCTTAATGGCTGCAATGAGCATATGCCTCTCCCTAAAATCTAGCTTCAACTGTGGCTATTAATACTTGAAAATGAGATCTTAGGTCTCACTTGAGTATGGACAGAAACCATAGGGCACACTGACTATTCCTCTTCATTAATACTAGTTTGTTGGGTTGAAAGATAACATTCTCATCCACAGCGCTTAGTTTATAGTCCATAGATTAAAGCAGACTCCACAGTCCTGCTTGGGCCCCCTACCAGGATATGACAGGAGAGGAGGATTTGCTTTGGTGATATTCTACATGCTGTCAAGAATGGGCCTCATGTGTGCCTTCATCTTTCGTATCATTTCCACTACCTGTCACGTCTCTGCACCAGATGGGATTCCAGCTTTAATGAAGTACAGAGCCAATGTACACTGCTTAAATTTGGCAATACCTAGAGAAAAAAACAGCTGCTTTCTAAGCTGGAATCTCATTTGGAACAAAAAACTTATATGCAACTTAAAATCTTGAAGTTCAAATCTGAAAGTTCCAGGCTGACCATCTCCAATTCTGCTTTGCTTACTGTGTTTCGTCTCACACTGTCTTCTCCTCCCTGCCAGGATGACTGCAGAATGATTCCTCTGAGCTAGGAACTCTGAGAAGCACCTAGATGTAGGTGCTTAGTAGCAGATGCTGAACCCAGCAGTGACTGGTAAGACTTCCCCTCTGATACCACCAATAAGTGCATAAAAAGATAATTCACACACTGATACAAACTAGTTTTCACTGTTGGGTCTCTTTCAATCCTGTGTGTTATGCAGTACTAAGTAGGTAAATGTAGATTTATAAATACTTACCGGTCGAGTTTGCCCTGAGAAACGCTTGTTGTAAGCTCTAATGTCATGCACAACTTGTTTGCTTGGCTTATCCTGTTGCTTTTCACAAGAGATGTTATCCAGAAGAACCACCTTCATGAGAAAAGCAGATAGGTATTAGCACGGTGTATCTGAATCTTCAGTATAAAGGCTAGTGTTCTGTTGTACGTCTGTCCAGTCTCTTCCTAGCAAATTGACCTTTGTCCAGTTCCATCAGTTCCACGACAGCAAGAACCTTCTCCTTTTGTAACCTGCATCCGGCCTACCAGTACAGCGGGCAGATTTTGGAAGGAGTCAGATGAGATGAGGAAGTCCCCTATTGCTTTTTTTGGAATGTTATCTCAGAAGAGACTCAATAAACTGTACAAAAGGAAAATGCCAGAGGCCTGTTTAATATTTCACAGAGTTGCCTGATAAGACGTGTCAAATGATAAATGCGAATGGCTGCAGGGTCATTCAATTTGTAAGTGGGTTTTGAAATGCAGTGGAAAAATAGAGGGTAAATAAAGTTGATCCTAAGAGATCAAGCCAATTTTGTATTTATCATAACGCAGATACATACAAGGGAGATGTCTTACCTTTTGTCTGCAGAGAGGGCAGGTTATTGCTCCTAACCAGGGACTGTGTTTCCAGTACGTGATTAGACAGGAACCTATCAAAAAAAAACCAACAAAAACAAGTGTTAAGATGCATGAAGCATATTTGAGGATATCTCATGTTTACAAAGATGTTATCAGAAATAATAAACCCTCTTTCTGCAACTGGCTGCAAAAATGAATGTAGTTCTTTGCTTTCAGTTTAATATGTGGTTTTATTTGGCAAACTGACTGTGTGAAAATGGTGTCTTAGATCTCCTGCACTGATGTAGCCAGCTCCACGGGGCCTCCCATTAACAGAGACTTTGATAGTTTAATGCCAGCGGATAGCATCTTATTCTTGAAGCTCCCTTGATTGTGACTGAAACACTCACAAATACAGGTACTCTTCCAACATGTGTACATAGTGCAGTGCAACGCAGAGCACTGTGCTGGCTGCTGTGGACAAAAGGTGGACTGCCATGAAGGTGGACTTCCTCCAGGTCAATAAAGCTCTGAGGGCCCGTTATCGTGAATAAACCAACGCACAGCCAAGGGACAGCTTGGTCTTGCAGACACCTCCTGGCACAATACAGGTCTTGGTGATGAAGTATCATATTTGGGACTATTTTATCTTTTTGCCTTTTTTTTTTTTTTTTCCAATTACTGTATTTCAACTGTGTTACCCCTCTGGAACTGCATAGCTCTAGAAGAGTGACTTGCTGCATTCTTTTTGATTTGTCTTGCCAAGACAACTGCTAACTAATTTCCAAATGCATTATCATTTTATTAGTGCTAAGGTCTCAGGTGTGGAGGAGGGCAGAGTCTGAGGACACTAAGATTAGAGTGTGCATATAACTGACAGCAGTGGTTGACACACGTGAATGTCAGTGCTGGTACTAACAGCAAAACCAGAAAAACATAAATTGCATCTAATCAGAAGCAGCACAGCTTGACTTTCAGCTCCCGGGCGCAGTGTGCAGCGTGACAGGTCAGGAAAAAAATCTTTTAACATGTAAACTGATCAAATTTGACAAGGACCGCAGTGAAAGCAACAGCAGAACACTGCATTGCCATTTTGATGGAATTGTTTTATTGAATTGAACAATGGTCTTCTAAAAACAACCATCAAGTAGTTTAAGTTAAGACAGTAAGTCTTCAGGAGCCCTCAGTGCAATAGTTTTCTGCACACAGACTTTTTTTGTCCATTGTTACTGAAAAGAGGAATATTAGAGGAGAAATGTGTCTGAAGTCAAGTATAAAAAGTGTTCATGATACTATCAGTTACTTCCTTTATAGGACATCCCTATAATAGGGGTGATAAATTTGGCCCAAAGATATTTTTATGAACCTTGCTCTGACTTGTACGTTTTAGTTTTGTTTTCATTTGAGTGCAGGATTTTTCTTTCTAACTCTTCTATTTTGTTTGCATATATGGAACAGTTAGCTGGGCACATGGCTGTGTTTATATCTAAATCCTCATGTGGGATGTATAAACTCAGTCTGGCAGCCAACTTCAAGCTCTTGCTTGAACTTTTACATTTGACAGACATCATGCCTGACTTCAGGAGCAGCTTTGACCCTCTAGGTTCAGATTCTGTATCATGATCCACGCAGCGATGTCCCAGTGATGACAATGGGGTACTACTGGATCCCATAGTTCATTAGGGGCTTTAAAAATAACCCTGTGGAAATTAAAATGTGCTGCATGCAGAATCCTTTGTTTAGTAGAACAGGAAAGAAAGACTCCTATGAAGTTGACCTATTTGTGCTTCAGTGCCTTTTTCATAAAATAGACAAAATCCTGTTTTAATCTAGCCTGCTACACAATCTTCTGAGGGAGTCCATAGGTTTTTCTAAAATACCTCTGTGGTTATTGTTAATTAGAAAAAAATAATATTGCTCAAGGATCGTTTTTCAGTTGAACTTCCTGAACATATGGTTCAAACTGAAGCTGAAAAGGAAAACTTCAGGACAAACTGTATGAATTACTACTAATAATAAAATCAGACATTTTTTATAAGTCCACATTAATCTTCTTTAAAAGCTCTGGGTTGACCACATTTTTTAAATAAAACTTTTACCAGAGTGGAATTTATTAAGAGTGCTCAGCATTGCCTTAGCTCTGTTCTGCAGGGCAACAAGAGAAGTTTTGTTACTGATTTCAGTCACAACAGGCTTAGATCTACGTAGAATGGTTCTGATAAGCCCAATGTAAAGTTTTATTGGTTTAAGACATGAAAAACAGACATGTTACGCTTCTACTATATAAACATAGTCATAACCCGGATAATGCATCGCGCTGGATTCTATGCTGTAGAGTGTATATGAAGATGTACTTGGGGAATGTAAAGCCTAACCAAATAGATGCAGTTAATGATAACAATATATACCAAACTTGTACTTCTCCGCAGATCTCAAAACAAATATGAAGCCCAAATCATTATGTCATATTCAGAGGTAGGAAAGGGAATGCTACCCAGGCCAGAGAAAGTGGAAAGTTAATGGCTTTTGTTGTTATGTCTATCTCGGTACTTGAAACTATAACTTATGTGATATTATTTGAAACATGTTTTGAGGCCATATGCTTACTGTTTGTTCTGGAGTGAGTTTTATTCAAAGCATCCTTTTCCTGTATGGTATAAAACAGTGAGTGGTAATAAAAACTTAAAAGAGGCTGAAGTATTAAATGGTGTCGCTTGTGGTAGACAAGGAGCCTGTAGCTGTTACTTATCCATTGATTTGTTGAGATTTCAGAGATAGTGGCAGTGTTGATGAGGGGCTGGTTTGGGTGAACGCTTTTCAATATAAAACACAGTGCCTTGTTCTCATTTACTCTTAGCTCTTTTTATAACACTCTTACTTGGTGAAAAAAAGTTCAAATGGCTTGTAAATATAACTTACACTTGCTTTAAGCTCTCCGTAAAATGTAGGAAGGAGCTTTATGGTTCTGACCAGTGTCTTTTGATGTACCTTGTGCTGCAGTATCAGATATTACTGCCAGCTGCCTGCACGACCCTCTGCCAGAGATGACTGATGTGCTGCACAGGAGCACTGAAGCACCTTCACTGGCAGTTTCAACCTCATCAGATCACAAACTCCAGTTCTTTTCTGCCACTCATGCAGCGGTGATGACAACATCCAGCCAGGAACCTGATAAGCAGCTGGGGCAGTGAGGTTGTAAACTTTGCCTGTAAATTCACCAGAGGATGTATGTCAGAGGTGTGAGCAAAGCTGTGAGGTTCAGGCCAAATATGCTGGTGGCCTTATCCTGCAGCCTTTCAAAGCAGGTGCAAAGCTCACACTGACTCCAGTGGTGCAGAATGTGGGCCTTAAAAATCCTGAAATCCCCTCTATAAATGCAGTTATGAATATAGCTCCCTCCACTACTCTGTGCTTCGTCCTTGTCTTCCTTCAAAAAATTATTTAAATTTTGTAATCCTAACCATATGGCTTAGCAGCCTCAAAGAAGTCACTTAGCAGACACATTTATCCACTGAATTATGGTTTTACGTGAGACTATCCAGCAACGATAGCTGCACTGGCTGAGGACAGGAGGCCACACGACAGGCAGCCTCAACAGAAGGACCCTCACACCGCTTATCCAGGCGGTGTCTCCTTTTCTGTTAAGACAGGCCCTCGACTGGCATAAACAGTTACTGAGCACACATCATGATGAGATGTCTGAATATTTTTTCCATGTATGACCACATGGATTTTCTTTAAGAAGAGTTAAACAGATTAAAAGGCCTATACATGACTAGAAACTCACTTTTTGAATGGTTTAGTACGTAACTTCCACTTTTTTTTTTTTTTTTTTTTTTCTTTAAGAAAGCTTTTACAGGACTATAAAGCAAGATAATTCATTTCAGCTTTAGTTTAGGGCAATTGTTTCACTGGGGAAGCAAGCCTGTGGAACAGAATCAGACCTAAGCCTGGTATCTTTTACACCTGATTTTTACCAGTGTCAATAAAATTTGAATCAATTTTATGGGATACTTGTTTTTTTTTTTTTATGATGTTGAATATTGATATATAAAACGACGAGCTGTCTTCCCAGAAGTGAGTTCATGCTCAAAGAGAAGACCTCACATTTGTTGTAGCTTGAACTTTTACAGTCACGAACTGTATGACTTTTAAATTGATGATTTTTATAGCTTAGGGTTTTTGCATAGTTGAATAAAAATTGCGTGGTTTTCTGGACCTTTTAAGCATTCCATGAGATGTGTTGTAATTTAACAGAATACTGCAAAATCATCTATTACCTCTTGTCTTGTGACTTCCTGCATTTTGCTTTTCAAAAGTGGCCCCTTGTCAATATAAAGGCAATGAACAGATAAAAATATTGTTACTGAATTTTTGGTGACACAGAGATGGGACTCTTGCTTCTAGTGAGAGAACTGGCTTTAATTCTAGGGAGAAGGGCTTGGACTGGTTCCTACATAGAACCTGAGATCTCTGTAGGAAGTGTGCTGTCAGTGCAGAAAACTTACCACAGAATAAATGTCCACAGTTGGTTTCTACTGGGAGAGTAGCTGTTTGGAGACAGATGGGGCAGCTGAAGTCTCTGTGGTTCCTGGGCTGCCAGATTTGGAGTGATTCCTGAAAGAGAAGTAGTGCAGAGTCTTCAGTAAATTAGTATTTTGATTGACATGCTCAGTTCATTAACCATCTCCCATGAACAGCAGAGAGTCACAGAGGCTAAATAAATATAGATGTCATGCATAACTAGTAGTTACCTCAGCAGATAAGGAAAGATAGGCAGAAAGAAATTATTTCTGTAATCCTACAGAAAACACCAGTGTCAGAGCTAAGATCAAGACACATTTCTGTTTCCACCGATTAATCCACATACCATGGGGCAATAGTTATGTTCTGAAGGCCTGCAGAGTTTGACCCGCTGGCTTTTCTTTCTGTCATTATTAGTCAGACAGCACCCAAAATTTGCCTCAGGAGCTTTTGGATCTTTTTCTTCTTTCTTTGTAGTCATGCCTAGCACTTAAATGTGTTGAAATAAGGACCAGGCCATTTTCTGCCTTCCTTGGCAGAAAGGTATTCTTACTGTGTATCATAGGCTATGTAGCTACAAGTCACCTTTCAGTAAAAAATGGCTTTTATGCAATCCTTCCCTTTGCTTAGAAAAGTCTATAATTAAGAATAATACTGAGGTTTGTTTCTACAGCGGAAAGATAAGAGCTTTGTAAGCTTCTGAAGTGCTAAAGAGGCATTTTGAAATTCAAAGTGGGCATATTTGTATTATAATATTCCTTTGTGTTATAATATTCCTGGAGTACTCTCCACCTGTGTTGGAAAGGCTGAAGGATGTGTGCAGGGCTTCTAAATTTTGCTCCTAAGTCATTATCTGAAGGCAATAAAAATTATTTGGCAGTATACTGCCAGGATATATATCTTTGCCAGGATTGTTTGATACAGTGAGAGGTAAAATAGCCATTCTTACTCAATATTGATTCCTCACCACAGCTGAAGTTTTTGCTACTGTTATTGTGATGCATTAGCTCGCCCATAAGGGATAACTGGCCTGCCTATATTGTCTTAGCACATCACAGAGAACCTTATACTTGACCATATGTTCGATGGCCCTAACCACAATGAGATCGGTCTTTGAAGAAACTGTAATAATAACGTGGCTAGTGTCCTTTCCGGAGATGAAACTATTCCAATGTTTCTATCAGTCCCAGAAACAGGGGAGTTCTTCTGAAATTGGGAGGGAGCTTCCCAGGAAGGTCCTCTAATTTAAGGCTCCATCTTACAGGCTATTAATAGTGGCTGTCCTCCACTGCCTAGGCATGTCTAGGCAGGTCCAACAAGAGAAATCATCAATTACAGTTTCATTTTGCATTTTGATCAAGAAGTTATGAACTCCATGTGTTTCTTAATGACCGCAGAAGTCCGGCTTTATATGGAATGGGTATTATTTTCCCATGACCTAAATAAGGCATTCAGATGTGATGATGCTATACTTGGAGATTACAGTATCACTGTATGCTTGCTGTCCTGTGTTGCCCAGTTGGGATTGCTTCGTTGTTTCTCACATAGCTGATTGGCACCTGCCTCCATGACAGATCAGTGAATACAATTCCAAGCAATTGGCCCGTTTATGGAAGTTTTTATAAAGAGAAGATTGAATAGATTCTCGATTTTCCATGCCAAATGATGGAAGACCCAAAGTGACTGTGAAGATGTAAAATCATCTAACAACAAAGATTTTAAAAAAAATAATTATTTTCTTCTAATTAATAATTCCAAGAAAGAAAGAGGTTGTCTTGCAGGTCTTCCAAATAAATGAGTGTGAAACCAGGTCTCCTGTCATAGCCATGCCTAAATGATGAGTTCACTGAATTAGTGATTTTAAATCAGCACCTTTAATACTGGTCTTGGATCTGTAAACAGAAAGAACTGAAGGTTTTAAACTAACAAGTTGTAACTGCTGGGAAGTATTTCTTCCTTACAGTTTATGAAGTTATAAATGGTTCTGAGACCCAGCAGAAAGTTCAGACGCTGAATGTGTTTATGCTGTGTTCAGATTTTCCCCTCTGTGCACTAGTAAGATGCTCTCTTCATTCCCTGCTAACGTGGCAGCCACACAATAACCCGACAAAGCTGGGGTTACTGACCATGGCAAACTAAAACCTAATGGAGATCAGACAGACTCGAGTCCCCTGCGCTGACAAATGACCTCTGGGCAAACATGCTTTGACATAATGCTTCCTAAAATTCGTACAGCACTTAGCAGCCCTGTGTTTTGCCTTCAAGTGCAAAGCTGATGGGCTGTTTGCAGATTCAGAAGTGAATGATTTCAACTGATAGAAAAGTGTAATAGTTAGCATCAGCTGAGGAACTGCCCGGAGTGCTCAACTGGTGTGTTTATAACTGTATTACTGATGTTTACACATCGGCATATATTACATAAACCGATTAGGTATCGGCTCTTTATTTTTGCAAAGTAATAAGACACACATTTCTTTAGCTTTGCCTCACAACAAAGCAAACCAAATGTGTTTCTGATTATGTAACAGATACTGAGTCAAGGGAAACCCAGCATTCCCAGACCGTAACTGATGGAAATTGTGAGAAGCTCTCGCTCTCTGCAACCTCAACAAGTTGAAACTGCTTGTGTATTTTGTATCAGAATGTGTTGTACAATAATTAACTTACTATACGATTCCTAGGGGACAAATGATTATAACTTTTTTCCAGATGACTCATCTTCTGCTGACTTACATGAGCAAATCTGCAGAAACAGAGTCTGTGCTGTTCAGAAGATGGGAAAATTGACTGCTGCTGTGTTGCTGTACAGCACCAGGGCTGGAAACTCAGCCGCCAAGTGCGAGTTGCTGTTGAGAAGCTTTGTGCTCGATGCATCTGAGTTAGGACTTTATGAATTACAGGAAGGAACCAGGCAATGATCCTGTGGTAGTGACACCAGGTGAGGATTATGTGCATGTATAGATGAAGAAAAAAATCATGCAAATTCACTACCATGAAGCAGCATTTTTTGTCTTGGAATTGCTCCTTTACTGAATGAAGCAAGGTGGGAAACTTGTCCAGCTCTCACAATATGACCAACAGGCGGTAAATTTGGGGAAAAGAAATAGGCAGTTCTTTACACAGACAATTAAGCAGTGGACGTTCTTGTTATGGATGCTCTAAATTTCTGAATTCAATAGGTACTGGATATCAAGTGCTATTAAATGCAAAGGTACTACCTCTGACTGGAGAAGTTAATGAACCATAAACCACCAGAGAATGAAAGAGTATTCTGGGGAAGCTTCACGTAATTACCTGTTTCTTTATTTTTCTGTAGGCATCCAGTGCAGCAGAGAGGGCTAGACAGCCCTGGTTTGATCTTTTGTAGCCCCATTAATAGAGCATATTGGGGAAAATGGGACTTGCAGTCACCTTCAGCAAAGATATCAGTGGCTTAGTTTTTTCCTGAGTTCAGATAGGCTAGGAAAAACATGCTAGATCTTTCATTTATTTGAATAGATTATGTGCACATAATCAAATTTTTGATTTATTTAGTCCAAGCACTCAAGATGATGTTTGAGTTGGTTTAATGTTGGTTATAAGGATAGTGACCAGCTGGATTTGATAGAAAGACAGATGATAACCTGACATAGATGTAAGTCTGCCAGGATAAATTTCTCCCTTCCAAAGTCTTGAGGCAGCCTTTGAACGTTTGAACTAGCAGACTGAATGAGAGATTGAAGTAGTGATTATGGCACTTAGCATTTTGTGGCTTGTGCCTGTTAGTTTTTGATGGTGCTAAGTCATAACAAAACAAAATATTTAGTGTGACTGTGCCCAAAATACCAGACTTCTGAGGATCTTCCTCTCATGCAGTAGTTCTACATGTAATCTAGAAAGAACACAATTAAAATTGTCATTCCTGTTGACACTTGAGTCTAAAAACTTTGAAAGTGTTCATTAAGTTACTGCTCCAAAGCCTTGTACTGGATATTTGTGCCTATCTCACCTTGGAGAATCCGAGGCTTGGGTATTGCCATACCGATAGGGTTTACTCTGATTGATGGTGTACAGAGCTTCATGTCAAATTTAAATCTGCTAGTGAAGACCACAGAGAGTTTCCATGTTTATTTCTAAATACAGTTTTAAGTTTTGCTACAATTGGGTCCTCATGTTTATTTTTTTCTCAATGAGCACCACAGGTGTTTTTGCTTTTGGTGTCAGAGTTGCAAGGGAACTCTCCATGTAGGTACCTGGTTAGAGGCTAGGTTTAGAAGCTTGTCAAACCCAGAAGTTCCTGGTGTCATGGAATCAGATTTTTCATAGAAAAAAAAAAGAGATCTTTTCAAAACTGAATGCATCTTTTGTCTTAAAATAAAAGCTGAGCAGTTCAGAAAATAATTCTAGCAGAATTCTGCAAAATCAAGCCTATTGTATGAAAATGTCATCACTAGATTTGATAACTTTTTAATACGTGTGCAAAAGAAAAGCATGAAGTAGTAATCATATAATTGATTGTGAAGCCAGAGGCTCCTAGGTGTAAACCTTTACTTCTGCAACACAGCTCAGCTCACTACATCCTCCAGTTTTACCACTAGGAAGTTTGGTTTTAAAGCATCAGTGATGAGTCAGTATGTTTGAGGAAAATAAATGAAAGTTTAAAAAGCACTTGGCAGATTCAAGTGCTAACAACAATTTATTCATTTTTTCATGAGAATCTGTCATTAATGAGGAGTAAAAGAGATCTACATCACAATTAAGATGACCCACAAGGATACACTGGACAGCTCATTATTTGACAATGAATATTAAATCAAATCACAAATGAGAATAGGACATATTTTAAAGAGAAGAATTGACTTGTGCAAATTTTCCAAAAGTAATCTAATGATTAAAAATGTAAATAAATACTTATTTATAAATATATATAGATAAATAATATACCAATATACAATCATGATAAATAAAAATAAATAATCACATATAGGAATAAATATTTGTAATCATTCTAATGATCACGTCCTACCCTGGTTGAGAAAACCTATGCAAAATTCAACTTACCATTCCTCTTTGCAGAACTGCTTGCGAGGAGCTGAGTAAGTTACACCAGCTGTCAGTGTGGAATCATTCATGAAGGCCCGCTGTACGTCTTTGTCAATTATTAACTGCGTTGCCCAATGGCAAGGGTCTGTCAAGTTTTCTAAATTATGGTTATGAAAGAAATATGTTGTTATTTGTTTGTTTTTTTCCCCCAAATAAAGCAAGTCTGCTAACAAAAAATAAAAACAAAAACAGAGGTCTCCTGGGGGGAAGAAAAAAACAACACAGAAAACAGCCTTCCCTTTCTAAAACACCTAAATATATCTTCTTCCTCCCGGAAGATGTTTAACATAATCAAAAGGTACCTGAATGTAATAAAAATAGTGCATTACTATTTTTTAAATATTAACTTGATCAAGGGCATCTACAGGTATTTTGATCACCTGATAAAATAGCAGCCTATCAGTTGTGTAGACAAGTGATTAACTGAAGTCCTGTTGTGAAATGGGCTTAAAACTTGCCAGACACTTGTGATACTTTGGTATTACATAAGTGCCAAATTAGATTGTGTAACACAGTATTGTCCAATAAAGCAAGCAAAGTGTAGAACTTAAGCAAAAGATCTTACTTGTTAAAATAATTTTAATTTACGGGCATGTATACCTCATGAAGTATTTATTCTTTGTCGTGCTCTGTAGTCCTCTAGAAAGGCTTGATTTCTGTAAAGATATTCTGCAGTTTAATGCAGCAAAATTAATAAGGAGGCCTTGGTTTTGTGCAGTGCTAACTACCCTGATCCTAACAGCATGGCACTGGAGCACATGCCGAATTTTCAGCCCTCAGGTAACACATAACCTCTTCTGGAGGAGTGGAGTGGGAGTCGGTAATATTGGGATAGGAATACACTCAGAACAAAAGTAATGCCCCTGGCATTCCTGCTGGAGCACTGATAAGCTAAACAAAGCTCTTTTCAAAGACTAATAACCGGATGGGATTTGTAGCATAAACAATGCTCCTTGTTAGTCACCAGTCCCTAGGGCATCTTCCTCACTCTGTTAGACAGAGATCGGCAACAAATGAAATGCTGTATGTGATTTCCTGCCCTGGGTATGCATGCATGCTCTCATGACAGTGTGATAGCTGTCATTTATTATTTATCTAAGTATGCATACACATCTACAGTGTGATTTAATTACTTACTAAAGGTGCCAGACTGACAGAGGCAGAAGCTGGAGATGTTCCCTTACCCAGAGAACTGACATGGGGTAAGTAACGGCATCCTTCTCGGGCTGTTCTACTAAAAGGCTTCACCCCAAAGGACACCCCAAATACCTGAATGTAGCTCATTCTCTCCACCCTTTTCCCAGCTACTCTGCTCAACTTGTTAGATCCATAAAGGCTGCTAATGAGGATGTCAGTTATTCCTGCCAGTGACTCTGTTTTTTAGACAGGAATGTTTATCCACTAGAAAATTTGTTTGAACACATGAAATTATTTTAGCTATGTTACTCAAGCATTTGATTAGTACTAACTCAAAATATGATCAGAATTATTTTAATACAGAGTTGAAACTCCCCCTAACGAAATAATAGCAAAAAGATTGTAGACTTTCTATGAAATGAACCCAGATTCCCTTTTACTTGCCAGGGATTGTATGCATAGAGCTGTCTCTTTTGCAGTCACTGATGCCCTTACACAACAGGCAGACTAGTCTTGGAAACTGGATGCTAAATTCTGCACTGTTTGCATAAATAGGATTTTGTTTTCATTCTTTATGTCACTCAAGCTATTAGTGCTCAGTTACCATTACATTTCACGTAGTCAAATAGTCCCATCAAAGGCAACAGGTCTGTTCACACCAACCACTTGTATTACTGCGTTATTAGTTCCCAATTTTCCACATAAAGTTTCTTATTCTGTTTCCCAAATGTCTACCTAACCAAAAATCAGGATCAAGACATACAAAGATGTGAAATAACTCTTCCTGGCAGTGTTTTGGAGCAGGGCTCATATAATGACATATCTGACACAAACCAAGGGGTTTAGGACTGAGATGGAGCTTTGCATTACGAATTCTCAGTGTGTCCCAGCTCCAACCTAATTCCATCCTGGGAAATAAGAGTAGTGAAGACTGACTGCTGGATACACAATACGTAGGCAGGTTTTACAGTGTTCTGCTAAAATGGAGATGTAGGTTATCAGAGCTGCTACTAACATGTTCCTAAGAAAGAGCAAAGCATATCAGACCAGCTGTCAGTGAATTGCATCAGGAAATCAGGAGAGAAATCTCTTTAAATGGAAATGTAAGTGAATGGCTAGTAAAACCAGACGATTAAAACTTTTATCTTAAAGAATGATCCAAGCACAAAATGTAGTTTTGTTGAAAATGCCAATTAAAATAGTTGTAACCTGTCTGGCACTGCTTAGAATGAGCAACCTGCTAAAAGGAGGCTCAGTCCACCTGCGTTAGGAGTTGGCTTTCATTCTGGAACACAGAATCTTAGAAATCTGAATAAAATGTGTTCAAGATTCTTAGGCAGATTGAAGTTTATTTTCAAAGTAAAAAAGTAAAATGACATTGGTATAAAAGTGATAGGAAATTTGAGCTTGTTTTTTTACATGCATGCAAACTTGTTGTATTCGGTGTGTAAATGATACCGTGAATATCAACAACTGTGTTTTGGACATTTCCATGGCATTTAATAGCACTTGATAGCTGTGACATTTTAATGTAGTGTTTCTATTTTTCAACACAGACCTTTCTGCTTCAACTAGAGAATACTATTCTGTATTCAAACACTTTATATTTTAGTGATTTTTTATACCATTGTATAGATGTTAGGGAAAAAATGATCTTTAATAACTGACCTGTTAACTTTCAACTGAAAAATAATGGAAATGAACCAGATATTATGATTTCACTCAGCTAATCTTGTATACTGATGATATGCTTTTGAATAATAAGATAATGGTATATAATAGGTGCCAGGGAACATACAGTTTTGAAAATTATTTTCTCTTTAGAGAGATGAGAGATATTATCACAATTATTTTCTGTGTGCAAAACTACACACCAGTACCCTGGCACACAATCAGTCTAAAGGGATTACTTTTTTTCTGGAAATGATGTTCATTTTTTACCCCTAATCCTGAAAAAAAAAAAAAAGCTCATGAGCTCACTCACAGAACAGTCCTGGAAAAAGATGTGGTGAAAACTGGAGGTAGCTGATACACAGTTTTAATTACAAGCAAGGATACTTAATGATCAGAATCTACAAACCAAATGGTCTTGTTGGGACGTAAGCTCACCTGCCAAATAGTCCTTAGCCAAATGAAGTCACAACATTGCACTGCCTTTTCAATGCTCCCGTGGAAACAGGATTTGAGAAAGCGAATGTGGATTTGTTTCTGACAAGTTATGTCATATTTCATGTCCTAGGACTGATTATCTTGTTACTAGCTCAAACTGAAATTGCATCTGAGAAATTTAATATGTATGAGCTCGCCTAGCCAGGAGCTGCTACCATGACAGTGCAAACAGTTCCGTGATGTCAATTCACGTCAGCGAGCTAATACCAGAATTGCCAAAGCCCCTTTTCACGTGTGACCTTGTCCACTGAAAAAAAAAAGATAAGAGTACCAAAATAGAAGTGCAGATATCTGTGAGAATGTAAACAAAAAGCCTAAAATAGAAAAGGACAGATAGGAGATTGACAAATGTTAAGAAAACAACTGAGGCAGGCAGAGAGCATGTTAGGAAGAAAGGCTGCAGTGAGGCAGTGAGGTCCTGTGGAGAAGAAATGATGTCACAGAGGTGTAAATACTTTATCCTCAAAAGTCACTGTTCATAATAATTCCTGATTCTGAGATATATTCCTGAGATGATTGAGGTAGATTGTGTAGATCAGTTCTTAAAGATGTTGAATATTTTTTTCCTGCTGTATGAAGCCAAAAGGCACAATTACAAAGCTCTGGTCACTTTCTTTTGTACAAATGTAGTTTGTTAGTTTTCCAGCCCCAGCCTACTTTGTTTCTAGTATAGCTTATTAAGGAACTTACTGGGATTTCAGAACTTCTGTTACTGTGGCATTATTTCCATATTATCTCTATCCAGCCCCTTTGAGTGGGAATTACGGAACACTAAGGCAGAGATAATCTGTCATTCACCGCATTAATCGTTTCTATTTCTTTAAGGAGTGATCAGGTAGGATAGTTCTAGTATAGTCTATCGTGCCTTCTCGACCCTGCAAAGTGAATTTTCTTTCCCCAGGAGAATTTAGAGACAGTGGAGTGGCCAGACACACTAACATACACAGTTTGCAAAGAACCCACATATCTGCACAGTCTGTGAATCTTATAAATACCGAGTAAGGAACTTCACAACAGCTTCAAATCAAGCCCAAGCAGCCTCTCTGTCTATTCAGCTCCTTTCCCCTTCTCTTCTTTATCTAATAAAAGACAAAAAACCTTATAGGGGTACCCTACCATGCCTTGTGCATGAGATTAGCAATAGATTCCTACTTTGCACTTCTGCCCTCCTGGCAGCCAGGGCACACTGCTGGCTCCTGCTGAACCTGCAGGCACCAGCACCCCCAGGTCCCTCTCTGCAGGGCTGCTCTCCAGCCACTTGTCTCCCAGTCTTTGCCTGTGTGCGGCACTGCTCTGTCCCAGGTGCAGAATCCAGCATCTACCCTCATTGAATTTCATGCTATTAACAATTGTCCATTACTCGTAGGTATCGAGATTGCTCTGCAAGGCCTCTCATCCCTCCAGAGTTAACAGCACCTCCCAGTTTAGTATCATCAGCAAACTTTAAATAATATTTGTTAAACACACTTGCTTTTTTTTTTCTTTTTTTTTTTTTTTTCTGAAACTACCATAGTAAACTAAATCTACTAGAATAATAACAGAATAATTGTGATGTTATTGTATAATATGTGTAGATGCATTTGTATCCTGTGTACAAACTCACTGTATTGTGTGGGCTAAGATAACTGTACCAGCAATTTTGTAATCAAGGACCCTAGAAATTACTCCAGTCAAAACTAAGTCATCGTAAGATAGGCTACAAATGCCAGTCTAAGCTGTCATAGTTTTAATGAGATGACTTACAGTTTCTTACCGCCATGAAGTCTGTGGGGATCAAAGAAAATACTCACTGAGTTAAGATGTGCTAAGAAAAGTGTGAAGAGGAGCGTAAATGGCTCAGGAGTTCCAGGAATCCCACTGGCTTAAACAGTCTTTTATTAAAAGTAAGTGTTCTCATAGCTGAATGACTTCCAAGAAGGGCCTCAAGTGATGATAGTGTTTCCATCAGATACGAAAATATTTGAAAGATGCTTATTCCATGTGGAGATATTTCC